TGTAAGGCAAAATATTAAGGTTTCATGACCTATAACTGCCATCATTCTCACATAGCGCCAAACACACACACACACTCTCTCAACTGAAGACTCAATACACACACCACACACAGAGAGAAGCCAGTACAGTGATAGGCACTCTAGTATCATCTCGCTCCCGATCTGTAGCTGGACTGAAAGTTCTAGTTAGTCTCCTGTACATACAAGAAAGCCATCCAGTTCTAGATAAAGTTGGCTTTCCTCTTAAATGAGAAGAGTTGGGACCCAGATCTGTGCCAACAGTGCTGTCAGTCAAAAAACAGTATTAATTTCTGACAGCTCGAGCATGTACCCTAAATCCACAGGGAATAACCCCTATATAGTAACTTCCCTAATTTCTCCATTCAAAATGCACATTAAGACAGGTGGCTTCCCCTGCCACTTTTCTGACGATCTCAAAGAAACTCATTAAGTAGGCTGAGGGAAAGCCTTATGAGACAGTCTTTTTCGGAAGTGTATGTAATCAGAGAGTACAGTGCCTCTGTAGAGAGAGACAAACTCTTCAATATTCAATACTCACCCTCCTGGCCCAGCCCCATCAGCCCTCACAGGGCCTCAGATAAACTCACCTGCCGTTCTTGGTCACAATCATTTCATTAGTGACTTCCTTGAACCTCTGCCAGAGAGGCGCATCCTCCAGGATGATCTGAAGTTGCTTCTCTGTAGGGTCACCCTTCTCCCTCCCTGCTAGGAGCTCACTCTCCACCACGTTGAGCAGGCGAGACACAGTGCCATCACTGTCCTTCTGAGCACCCAGCTCGCTCATGGCGGCTGGCCCCAGGCAAACTTGGCTGAGAAGCGTCACCCACCTTGCTTGCTTCCACCTCCTTCCTCCCCTTCTTGCCTGCTATTCAACCCCAGCTGGACAGTGCCTGGGAACTGGGGAGAAGGTGCCCCTGACTCTTGCTTAAGCTCCTAGTGTGACACCCCTTCAAGTCTTCAAATTATACCACCAACCTGTTAAGCTTCAGTTGGGGAGGGGGTGGAAGGAAGGGAGAGAGAGGTAGGAAGAAAAAAAAAATCCTCTCTTAATTACTCATTGGATCAGGTGGGAGAGAGCCCAGTTTTCCCATTGGCTGCCAAAGCCAGAGTAGACATTTAAGAAGAGTACTCCATCCAAATTATCAGGCTTTTATCTTGTTGTACCTGAAGAGGTCTAATCGGTGTATTGAGGACCATTTTCCCATTAATTAAAATTGTTCCGGGCCCGAACTGCAACAATCAGGCAAATCGTGTTTGTGGATAAATCAGTGCATGCGGCACCTATAGAGGAAAGGTCCTGGAGAGAAACGGCAAACTTAATGCCAACCCAGGCTGGCTTAAGACTGTTCTCTAGCACCTGAAATGCAGAGGCGGCTCTGGAAGGAAGAATGTGCACCCAGAAGATCAAAGGCACTGTGCCAAGACCATGACAACTGCAGGAAGATGTCATCCAGGGCCAGAGCTCGGGAGAAAAGAAAAAAAGAGATCTTTCTCTCCACTACCTTATCCTGGTCCCTCTCTCCTGGTGAAGTCCACCACACATTCTTACTCTAAGTTTAAGGGTTCTGATCATCTCCTACAATCAACAGAGCTCTGAACTTGCTCTTTCTTCCTTGGCATCTAACCTCCAGCTGATTTTCTTTTTTAATGTCCAATCCTTGCTGGCAGGAGAAAAACGCAACCAGCATTAATCACTGAGAATATACTTTGACCCAGGGAATAATAACAATCCTTTTTCAATCATTATGCAGAGCAATTTCAATTCTTGCTCCAGAAAGGCATTCTAGCTTTTCCATTAGACACCCCAAGGCCTGTTCTGGCATTCTGGAGTAAACTCTCACATTCCCTAGGCAGATACTACGAGCTGAAATGCTTTCTTTTACCTAGAACATACAGTACTAATGTAAGGGAAATTTAAACAGGAGCAGCTTTACCTGCCCCACTCTGAGCAGACTCTCGAGCTGTCAGTTTGTCCTTAATTACGCAGAAAGTAGAAAAATTAAAGGAAAAAATAAAGCAAAAAATTAAAATGAAGTCAGGATAATGATAACAGAGAAAATGCTTTCCAACACATTCATCCAGTGCCTGTTGTGTTGCGTACCATCAAGTTAATCCCAACTCAACCCTATAACGAGGTGCAATTGTACCATAAAGTTCTATTAGCTGTAATCTTTACAGAAGAAGATACCCAGTTCTTCGTTCCAAGCCACTGGTTGGATTTGAACTACCAACCGTTTGATTGTTGTTGTTGTTGTTGTTGTTGTTGTTAAGTGCCATTGAGTCGTAGACAACTCATAGCGACCCTATGAACAAAAGTCCTCAACACTTGTGTGACTTTCATCCTTTTTCCAGGTTCATAAATTTTACTTCAAAAGCTCCAGAGAGGAACTGACAGCCGCAGAACTCAAAGACCAGAATGGAAACACCAACATCCTGGAACTTTGCTCTTCGGTTAAAACATATTCTAGTTTTCCTAGTGCTTGGATCACAAGACCACATGTGGTTGGCTTTAAGGAAAATAAATTTATTTTCTCACTGTTCTGAAGTCTGGAAGTGTAAGTCAGGGTCTCAGCTGTTTGACTCCCTCCAGGAGAGTAGCAGTCCTTGATTGCTTGGTTCCTTGGCAATCCTTCTACAACATTCTTGCATGACATCTGTCTTTTCCCACATATATGTTGCCTATGTATCTAAGCTTCTCTTTTTATAACTCACACCCTATCATGGTGGGGTCTAATTACACAACAAAGAAAATCCTATTAAACAAAAATTTGGGGGAAATACCATCCATGGCAGTTCTAAATTTGCTTTCTCCATTCTAAGCCATCTTCTCAGAAGAAATCTGAAATACTTAGGTCCATAGGAGGGAATAAAATAATGAAATGACTTCTATACTTTCATTAATAACCATGTCTATGAACAATTATATTTTCTCTGCATCTCTTTTCTTCATGTGCTAGACAGATTTGGGAAAGAGATCTTTTAGAAAATCAACTCAAATATATTTTGCTTTCATATAAGGAACTCCAGTCAAGAATGGATGCTAACTTCTCTGGCATAGTTTCATTCATCCATTCATTCATTTAACAAACATTATTGAGTGGTTACTCAATGGAGTTGAGATCCCTGTTAGAGTTCCGGCTGGTGCTATGGTTAACACACTTGGCTAACTGGAATATTGGAAGTTCAAGTTCATCCTCAGAAGAAAAGTCTAATGCTCTATTCCTGAAAAATTAAAAATCAGCCTTTAGAAACCCTAGTATAGTTCTACTCTAGTGATCATGTGATCATTATGAGTTGGGTTCATCTTGACAGCAAGTGGTTTGATTTTTAGTTTAAACAAAATTATCATATTTGTGTCTTATTAAGATGGCTTTGGAGGCAGCATGGAAGTTAGGTACAAAAGCAAAAGGAAGGCAGGGAGACTTCCATATAAATCCTCAAGGGAGACAGTGAGGAACAAGGTGCTATAATGTTAAAGATGAGAACAAAAGAAAACAGTCGAAAGATATTTAGCGATAGGCCCCACTGAACTTGGTCACCACTGAATAAAGCTGGTAAGGGAGACAGTATCTAGGATGACACTCAGACATGTGGCTAGATGCCCATGCAGATTATAGGACCAATCTCCAGGAGAAAAGAATGAAGAATGATGCACCCTAAGTCATCATAACAAAAAAATTGCTATTATGTCAAACCTAACTTATGATGACCCTGTATTATAGAGTAGAGCTGCTCTATGCAGTTTTCTTGGCTGTGACCTTTATGGATACTCTGGTGACTCAGGGGTAAGGAGCTACACTGCCAACCCAAAGACATTAGATTAAAATCCACCAGCTGCTCCACGAGTGAAAGATACACAATCTCCTCCTGTAAAATGTACTACCTCTGACAACCCACTGAAGGATCTGTTATGAGTTGGTTACGACTCAATGGTACATAACAATCTTTATAGTAAATTAGACCTTTCTTCCAAGGTACCACTGGATGGCTTTGAACTAACAACCTTTCAGTTAGTGTTCAAGTATAAATAATTTGTGCCATATAGTGACCTCATTTACCATCATCAGCAAGGGCATCCATTTCTATGAGCATTTTGCTTTCATGGGATGTGTCAGTGAACTCACTCTAGGACATCAGCTTGAATGTTCCATTCTAAGAATTGGGAAAAGTAGATGGCCAGATCTCTGACCTGTAGCTTTGTATGTCACTGATGGGATTAGGGGAATTAAGCGCTCCTCTTTCCCAACAGTTAAATCAACTCTGTCACAGGCCAGCAGCTGTTCTACTGCTGGTCTCTGGGGATCAGGGGAGAGAAGGTGTTGAGCTTTTAATTAGGAGTGCGGTGGACCTGACACCTGATCACACTGCTGTGTCCTCTAGCACACAGCGGTCCATGACTTGGTCTTAAAGAGCAGATATTGAAAGCCACGCAGCCTAAGCTCACGTGCCTGGGCTCCCTGAACTGTGCCTGCATCCTTGGGCACACACCAGACTGAACCCATGTCTGCACATTCAGTTCCTGCAGCCTGAAGAAACCTAATACCTTTCTGTACCCGTGGCCAGTGCCACCAGGAAATTAACATTCACCCAGGTACTTGGTCATAATTAAACTGAACAAAAAGACAGCTGCTCCTACCTTTCCTTCTTAATCATCAACATGCATCCCTGGGGATTACTAGGTTTTGGGTGATTTGAGCAAGATTACTTTCATTAGTGTCTGAGGTCAGTTCCAAGCAGTGTCATAAGAGCCTTTTATGACAACCTCCTGTGTCAACTGCTCATCTCTTCTAACCTCTGAAAGGTTAGATTTTGCAAAGTCACTGGCAATCTTCTATCTGTCAGACTCTGGGTCATTTTCTTTTTAACTAGGATCACCACACAAAAATAATTTCTTCTTTGAGTCTCGAGACATCTATGAGATCATCAGTGTGTGTGTGTGTGTGTGTGTGTGTGTGTGTGTGTGTGTTTGTGTGGAGAGAGAGAGAGAGAGAAAATATATCGTTTATATATATAGTTTCTGATGAGGTTGAAGAGGAAAGGCTTTCAATAGAAAGATGGAGATACTCCATGTTGACAAAGTTCAAAGACCCTTCACTTTCCCATAGGTACTCATTGAACATCTATTACTTCATTTAGCTAAACCGAGGGCATAAACAAGGGCTGAGGATGTCAGAGACTAGGAAACAGAAGAGTGCATGCCCATCCAAAATAGCCAAAGCCAAGAAAGTTCAAACTGTGTAGATAAACAAAATATGTCTAAAGGCCACATTTAGCCCACTCATTTGTAACTTCTTTTTAGCCAAAAGCTCAAGTATCATTTTAAAAAGCATTAAAACCCATTTGCCTACAAAAGAATTTTAAAAGCATGGCTTTGAAATGGTTTGAACCAGGTCAGTCATGCCTGGCAAAGCAAAATTGGGAACAGACTCAAATTTTTAACAGGCTAGGGTTAGGGTTAGGGTTAGGGTTAGGGTGAAGTCAGACAAGAGCTGCAACACACACACACACACACACACACACACACACACACACATACAAAATGATGGGCATAGGACTAGAATGAAAAACTTAAAAAAAAAAACAAAAACAAGTGTAGTAAGCCCTTTCAGGAGCCTGATACAGGAGACTGAATTACTCTCAGGACCATGGAGAGAAACTCACACTCAAAGCCGCTTGGTTTGCCATTATCTTCGAGTAGGGCACATCTGCCTCCAACCCTGCCAGTTTAGAGATTTGGATGGTATCCAATACGCATTCTGCCCTTGTTTTCGAAGAGGGAGATTAAGTTTCTGGCACGATATCAACCATCATTTTTCCTGTTCTTGCTTACCCT